TAACCACGAAGAACAGTGGAGCGTATTACATGAGGTCAATCCAGTACAAGCTGGGGGGGACAACCGGGACCACCACCGCCAATGGATTACCGTCGATGGCGTGGGGGCCCGGGCGCTGAGAGACTCTGGGGCTACTTTGACTGTGGTACAGCCCCACACGGTCAGAGCACAAGCTCGCACCGGACGCACCGTCGCTGTAAGGGTGGCTGGGGGCGCTATTCACAAACTGCCCACCGCTAATATGCTTGTTGATTGGGGTTCCGGGGCTAAACAACTGGAGGTGGGGATTATGCAAGAACTGCCCGCCGAGGTTTTGTTGGGAAATGATGTGGGATGCCTAACCTCCCAACTAGCCCGAGACCCCCCTGCCGAGGCCTACCCGGTTACCACCCGAGCTCAAGCCAGACTGGAAGCTCCGCTGCACTCTGAGGAAAACCAGGTAAGATTCGAAATACCTCCCTTACCCGATCCCCCCGTACCCTTCTGGGATACCCCCCAGGGGTTTGAACAGGAACAGCGTACTGACCCCACATTAGAAGGCTATAGGAAGGCCGCGGCCGCTACCCCCGAGAACAACCCGCACGAAAAATTTGAGTGGTATAAGGGGTTGCTATATAGGGTAACCGAGGGGGTGGGACAGGGGGCTACCCAGGTCATAAAAAGACAGTTAGTTGTGCCCCGTAAATTTCGGGCTGAGTTGTTAAAACTCAGTCATGACATTCCCCTAGCAGGACATTTAGGGGTCAAAAAGACCAGAGACAGGTTAACTCAAACCTTCTTCTGGCCCAGAGCCACCCAGGACCTTAAGTACTATTGCAGGACCTGTGATGTATGCCAAAGGGTAGGGAAAAGGGGAGACCTTCGGAAGGCTAAGCTGCACCCCCTACCCATCATCGAACAGCCCTTCCACCGAGTAGCGGTGGATTTAATAGGACCCCTCAGTCGCCCCAGCCCGTCGGGCAAAAAGTTTATCCTAACGGTGGTCGACTACGCCACTAGATACCCGGAGGCAGTCGCCCTCACCAATATAGAGGCCGAGACCGTGGCAGAGGCCCTTATTCAGATATTCACCCGAGTAGGTTTCCCGCAGGAGATACTCTCCGATCGGGGGACGCAGTTCACAGCTACCCTGACGCAACAACTGTGGCAGAGCTGTGGAGTGCAACCCCTGTTCAGCGCCCCGTATCATCCCCAGACTAACGGGCTCTGTGAACGTTTCAATGGCACTCTAAAACAGATGCTAAAAACTTTTACAGAGTCCCACAAGAATTGGGAAAAATTCCTTCCCCACCTTCTGTTTGCCTACCGTGAGGTGCCCCAGGCCTCCACTGGGTTTTCCCCCTTCGAACTCCTGTACGGGAGAAAAGTTCGGGGCCCACTGGAGCTCGTACGGGAACACTGGGAGGGCAATACAGATGAGGGGGGAGTCCCTATCGTCCAGTATGTCCTGGAGTTCCGGGACCGTCTGCGGGCCCTCACCGAATCAGTTCGGGAGAACCTGCAGGCGGCCCAGGAGGACCAGAAAAAGTGGTACGATAGGAGGGCCCAGGATAGAGTGCTGGACTTAGGGCAGAAGGTACTGGCTCTGAGGCCAGTTAAAAAAGACAAGCTGCAAGCAGCCTGGCAGGGACCCTTTAAGGTAGTGGAACAGGTTAGCGAGACTACCTACATCGTGAGCAAATGCTCAGATGAAAGGCTGACCAAAGCCTTCCATGTGAACATGCTCAAACCCTATTTTGAAAGAACAGAGGAGGTGGGCGCCGTGTGCGCCCCCGCCACAGAGGATAGTGAAGGGCTACCCCTTCCTGACTTACTAGATACCACCCCCTGTACTATTGACCAAGTAAGCTTGGGTCAAAATTTAGACCTCCTGGAGAAAGAGGAGGCTACTCAACTGCTGCAGGGATACCGAGAGATGTTTTCCGCTACCCCCGGCTATACCTCCGCTGCGGTACACCGTGTGGAAACCCAGGGAGAGACGCCCCTACGGCAACAGCCATATCGGATCCCAGAAGCAGTACGTGAGAGTATGCTCACCGAGTTAAGGGATATGTTACGGCTAGGGGTAATAGAACCCTCCCAAAGTCCTTGGGCCTCCCCGGTGGTACTAGTACCGAAGCGCGACGGCACTACGCGCTTCTGTGTAGATTACCGGAGGCTTAACGACCGTACCATAACCGATGCCTACCCCATGCCTAGAATAGATGAGCTCTTAGACCGTATGGCGGGGGGGAACTACTTGACTACCCTGGACCTGTGCAAGGGTTATTGGCAGATCCCCTTGGAGCCTGCGGCCATCCCCAAGTCGGCGTTCGTCACCCCTTTTGGGCTATACCAATTCAAGGTGATGCCCTTTGGGATGAAGAACGCCCCGGCTACGTTTCAGCGGATGGCGGATAGGCTCCTGGAGGGGTTTCAGGACTTCGCATGTGCGTATCTAGATGATATTGCCATCTATAGCCGCACATGGGGAGACCATCTAGGTCATGTGTCCAGGGTACTCGAACGAATCCACCTCGCAGGGCTCACTTTGAAACCCGACAAATGTCACGTAGGCCTAGCCGAGGTCCAGTATCTAGGCCACCGGGTCGGCTCCGGTAGACAACGCCCAGAGCCCGCTAAGGTAGAGGCCATAGCTAACTGGCCCCAACCCCGGACCAAAACCCAGGTACTGGCTTTCTTAGGGACGGCCGGGTATTATAGAAAGTTCGTCCCAGAATATAGCGCCCTGGCCAAGCCCCTCACGGACCTTACCAAAAAGGCTCTTCCCAAACAGGTCTCCTGGACCCCAGAGTGCACGGACGCTTTCCAGAAGCTCAAAGCGGCATTGAGTGAGGAAAATGGGAATGCGGATGGTCTGTCCCGCCAGACCGAACTGGACACCTAAAAACGTACTTTCATCGGACATCCCCAAGCCAACCCGACAGGGTCTAGGCGGGTATGCCGACCTATGGACTTATAGGGGAGCAGTGTGAAGAAATGACTCCGTTAATCAGGATTTCTACCTTTTGTTGTACAGTTAATTCACCAAACTCAGCTGGAATTCGGCATCTAGCTTTCATTTCTACCCTTCGGATGGATTCAGGCGAATTCCCTGTGTAAAATATAGATGGCCGCCATTTCGGCACTTTACACGTGGCCGCGGCCATTTTACGTGCGAACAGCGGTGTTTGCCCGTCAACGCGTGGAACTAAAATCGGATACGCAAACAGGCGAACACCGCTGAGACCTCCATACATCCAGAACTTCGCACGGGAACGACCGAATCACCGGCCGTTCGGTAGTTACATGCAACTTCGTATGGGGATTTCAACGATCACAAAGATGCGAATGGATGGCAGGGCTTTCGTCTCTTTTATTCGCCTAAACGGAGACCGACCGCAGGGCCAAAACTTATGGAACTATTTTCGGCTAGATGGTCCGTGCGGTCGGTCAAAACTTTAGTGTTCCATAACTCCCGAACCATTCATCCGAATGGACTGATTTTTTGATATGTTGTCCCCACAAATGAGAACTATCCAGCGGTACCCAATTTAAAGGTGTACCCCCTGTTTTTGGGGTACATCCAGAACTGGGGTAAAATAGTGCACGTTTTAATTAAGTTAACTGTTTATCAGAGGGGAGGGAGGTATGGGCTGTAACCTATACCTGATTGGTGATTTAATGCCTCCCCCTGGGTGTGTATTTCTTGTCTGTAACCTTAATAAAAAGCAGGCTGGAGATTCCAGACCTCAGATCTACTTGTATCCTGATTCTGGACTCTGACTGTTATTTGGGAATTCGTATGCTTTACCAAGGGGATTATCTTGGGAAGCTGTTATATTTCTTATGGACTTCATTGCTTAGAGCTACCGTAGACGCTGGCATTGCAGGAGGAATTATCAAAGCGGTTCAGCTATACTTGATTTCCTTACAGTAGCCAACACTGTTTATATATATCTATTTTTTATTTTAATTGTGGTAGCCCCCAAAATATTGGGACATACAAAAAAAGAAACATTTGTGGCCTGAGGTGCTTTTCTTGCAGTCCTGATGCATGGAGAAATGCTCAACTCCTGATGCATGGAGAAAAGGCCTTCACAAGCCTCTGCTATTGTGTACATAGTTTATACTAAGTGACCCATAGGTTGAGGAGGCGGTGACCATGGCGGTGTAGGTGGAAGCGGCGGTGGAGGAGCTAGCCAACATTGTATGTATATATATATATATATATATATATATAACAGGAAAAATGAGAGCACTCACTGGATTTAGCACAAAAAATTGTATTAAGCAGTGAACAAACTAATCAACGTTTCGACCGGCTCGCGGTCTTTATCAAGATGTCCAAACAGTGTACACAACGATATATATATACCATAAAATATTGTAAACTTACCCAATCACCAAAGTGAACCCCATTCAATCCAGTGTTCCCTGTGTCAGACGCCGAGTTGCGCCCACCCCTACGTGCGTGATGACATCATGTCATGTGATGTACACAAACTATGTTGCCTGGTAACAAAAACGACATAATAAATGTGGATGGTGCAAATTAAAAACATGCAAGGAGGACCTGAGAGATGAACTATTTAAACGATCATATGAGTGCAGAAAACCATGTATGCATATGTTAATATGATTATAACTCTGAGAAATCTTAATTGTTAACCATGCGATCTGTGGTGTAGAGGCTCTGTGTATTCTATGTGAAGTGATGTGTGGATGTGTGAGTGAATGTGGATGTGATGTAGTATCAAGCAACAACTTATGTGAGCTGTGAAATAACGCTATCCTCTGTGTGTGCTATATAAAGTATAATAAAGTATGAAGGTGAAATGTTATATGCTGTCCGAAATTAGAAAATGTGTGTATACTGAGAACAACCTGAGATTTTTAAACGGATACCCAATCCCTATTATCGGGGGGCGTGGCTTGGTCACCGGAGTGAATGGCCGCATGAGAGCTGAGCTCCGTCCAGAACAGGCCTTATAAGCAGCATCCCCGGCAGCTAAGACGACATGGCATCGAAAAAACCTCGAGCACAGGCAAACACTACCCCAGCGGTACCACTTACCGCATCCAAAACTTCCCTCCGACGGTATTTCGGAGAAAAACCGGAGCCGGAGAGCAAATCCAAGATGGCGGCGGTAGAGAAATCTCCCGCGCACAGCGCACCTTCTAGCCCTGCACCCTCAGAAAGCTCATTAGAGGGTAACGACCTAAAAACCCTACTCTCACAACTACCATCTAAACTAGATCTGGAACTGATGTTTTCCAAGATGGAGAGGAGCTTTGGGGACAAACTACAATCGCTCCACGAAGAGGTAAGCCAAATAGGCCACAGGGTACAGACACTAGAAGAAGAAGGGAAGGCAAGTGCCCTGCATCTCACAAACATACAATCCCTCCAGCAAACCCACAATGAAGCCATCTTATTCTTACAAAGAAAAATAGAGGATTTGGACAATAGAGGCAGGAGAAACAACCTCAGGATAAGGGGTCTCCCTGAAACACAGCAGGGGGAGACAGAAGATATCATACTCCTACTCACTGGCCTCTTTAACAAGATACTGGGCAGGCCTCTTGACACAGTCATTAAATTTGACCGCGCACATAGGGCGCTTAGACCACGGGCACTGCCCCAGGACAAACCGAGGGATATTATCTGTAAAATCCACCACTTCCCACTTAAAGAAGCAATCCTGCAAAAAGCTAAGCACGTCAGAGAAATCAAACATGACGACCATAAAGTGCTGATTTTCCAAGACTTGGCACAATCGACCCTCATAGCGAGGAGAGCACTCAGACCCATAACAACAGCCCTTTCGGACATGAACATTAGATACAGATGGGCATATCCCTTTGCTCTTGTGGTCACTGAGCAAGGGACAACGTACTCTATCTCGACACCTGCGGAGGTCCAAGCCTTCCAGCAAGCCCTAAAACTACCAAAGACCGCAGTGGAGGACTGGACTGGGCTAACACTGGGACAGACATCACACGCCTCTCAGAAAAATAAATGGCAAAGAACCCCGAAGAAGCGCAGAAGGCGTATCCCATCGGGCAACGAACAGACCACATCACCCAGAGGCACCACAAGCAGACCCACCTGAGGGACCCAATATATCCTTTATTATGTTAAGCAGACCTCTGAAGCACCTGGACGCTCTTTCTTATATGTTTGAAAGTTGTATGCCGTTTGTCGTGACTTGAATGTTGATTATCATATTGTAGATTTAAACTGCCTTTCGTGCGGCCACCGCCTACACCCCCCTGGGGTTCGGGCCCTGGCTGCGCGAAATTAGGGGATAAAAATCCACATTTCAACTTTATAACGAGTTAGCATAAGAAAACACAGGCCACACTATAGGAAACGCTTTTAGAATGTTAAATTTACCAATCAGATTACTGGCCAAGTTCTGGACAACCAAGACCCCGTAACCCCCTAGAGGTGTCGCAGAGAGCACGTGAGGACTCACACAGAGCCTAGCGCGCTAGACACCATCTGGTAGATGCATGTTACCCACATGCTCATTGTACATAGCATTCCAAGTTTACATCCCCCCATACACCCCTCTGACCCCCGAAGGTACAAGTGTAAGCATTACTACCCAGAGGAGACACGCCATCACCACCACCTGACCCCCAATGGCTGATCTCAAAATAATGTCCCTAAATGTCAGGGGACTTAATACTCCAGAGAAACGTACAGTACTAACCCAAGAAATAGACAGACAACAGGCTGATGTCGTTTTTTTACAGGAAACGCATTTAAAGGGGGGTCAAACCCCTAAACTAAGGGCAAAAACAATAGGACAAGCATTCTTCAGCAACTATCACGGGGGCAAAGCGAGAGGAGTAACCATCCTACTATCACCACGCATAGTCTTCACCCCGAGTGAAATCAAAACAGATCACTTGGGAAGATACCTATTTATCAAGGGCTCACTGAATAACACACTGGTGACACTGGCAACTATATATGCCCCAAATACCAAACAAGTATCATTTGCCAACTCATGTCTTAGGAAACTACACAAATTTGCTAATGGGATAATAGTTTTAGGGGGAGACTGGAACATCGTCCTAGACCACTCTATGGACAGCTCCACAACCAGTAAAGACACACAGAAACACCAAAGGGCTTTATTTCAAAGATCCCTCCATGCCCACCAGCTGGTGGACTGCTGGAGAATATCCCACCCACAGGAGAGGGACTATAGCTACTATTCACAGGTGGCCCATAGTTATTCCAGATTGGATATGTTCCTCTTAGAACATAGGCATTTACACTTGTTAAAGGAAGCATCAATTGGCCACATCACATGGTCAGACCATGCCCCGGTGTTCCTCACACTATCCCTTGCAGGAACATGCACACCCACCAACAAGTGGCGGTTAAACGAATCGCTCTTGGACGACCCAAGAGTGACTGATGACCTCAATAATTCCCTCCCTAGATACTTTCTTGAAAACAAAAACAAAGACACCGCAGACACCTGGGTATGGGAGGCACACAAAGGTATCACCCGAGGCATACTGATTAAGTGGGGTGCACGTATAAAAAAAGAACGCCAAGCAAAGATCAAATCACTCACAGAAGCAATAGCTAGAGCAGAAATGGAACATAAAACCGACCCCTCAGTGGAGGCGTATAACAAGCTGACGGCATTGAGAATGGATCTACGCAATATCCTTACGATGCAGGCACACAGAGCAGTACTCCTGACTAGGGGAACATATTACGCACACGGTAATAGGAGTGGGAAGTTCCTGGCCAGAGCCCTAAAAGAAAAGCACCAAAAAACATACATATCCCACATAAAGGCGCAAGACGGTACACGCAAAGATAAAACCGAGGACATAGCCAAAATCTTTAGGGAATACTATAGTAACCTATATAACCTAGAGCACCATAGAGGTCCTTCCCATGACATTAAAACATACAACTCCTCCCATATCCAAAAAACAATAGACCTACACCAGTCAACCATCTTAGACTCACACATCCAGCTGGAAGAATTGCAGCGAGCAATTAAAACACTTCCTAAGGGTAAAAGCCCGGGACCAGATGGCCTAACGGCCAGATATTACCAATCTTTTCAACACATCCTATCTCCCCACTATCTAGAAGTGCTTAACAATCTACTAACCACTACCGAATTACCACCCCCGATGCTGAAAGCATCGATAACAATCCTGCCAAAACCCGGCAAGGACCAGAGCCTGTGTGGTAGTTATAGACCCATCTCCCTAATTAACCTCGATGTAAAATTACTTGCAAAAATCCTTGCCAACCGACTCAAGACACTACTGCCTGACCTGGTCCATACAGACCAAGCGGGTTTCATCCCTGGAAGGGAGGCGAGAGACAATACCTCAACCTCATATATGGTGCCTCTACCACCAGGGTACCGACAATACTCCTCTCGGTGGACGCTGAAAAGGCGTTCGACCGAGTAGACTGGACCTTCCTATTCACCACCCTTGAAACCCTAGGAATCGGCCCCAATTACATACGATGGGTGAGAACACTATATAAAGGACCATCAGCCACGATTGGAGTCAATGGGCAAGACTCTCCCCCCTTTGCCATAGGTAATGGCACAAGACAAGGGTGCCCTCTGTCGCCGCTACTATTCGTTCTGGTGATGGAACCATTTCTGAACGCCATCAGGGCTAATGTCAACATTAAAGGCATCAGGGCAGGAGACCAGGAAGTAAAAGTATCTGCTTTCGCAGATGACGTACTCCTAACACTCACACACCCTGAGCGCTCCCTCCCGCATCTTCAGAGCGAAATAGAACACTTCAGTACATACTCAAATTTCAAAATAAACGCTGATAAATGCGAACTAATGGGCATCAACCTAAAACCGACCCAACTCAAATACATAAGCCCTTATCGATGGGCAAACACAGGCCTAACATATCTAGGCATCAAACTCGCACCCACAACGACAAGCCTCTATAGAATGAACTACATTCCCCTATTGGATAACATTAAATCACAACTCAAACACTGGGACAAACCCCACTTTTCCCTTTTTGGAAGAGTCAACATCATTAAGATGATGATACTACCAAAAATTTTATATACATTTCAAACACTCCCCATCGAACTCGGACGCCAGTTCTTCCACATACTGAAAAACATCTTCCTTACGTTTGTTTGGGGAAATAAAAAATCCCGACTGGCATATGACATACTCACGCGGGATAAAAAGAAAGGAGGTGTCGGGCTACCCCATATGTACAACTACTACATAGCAGTCCTTTTCACTATACTCAGGGAATGGATAGATATAAAACACAAAAAATCGTGGTACGACATAGAACAAATGCATGCACAGGCTCCTTTACCATCCCTCCCTTGGCAGACATGCCAACTTCAGCGGCTGACCACCATGACACACCCCCTTATTCCCCACATCCTAAAGAAGTGGAGATTGCACAAAAATACCTGGAAACTGTCACCAGGCATATCTCCATTATACCCGTTAAACCATAACCCGGATATATTAGGAGGCAGAGGGGCAGATACTATACTAAAAATATGGGGAATACAAAACCCACAAATAGGAGACTTGCTGACAGGAGATACACCCCCTAAAATCAAGCAACCCCAAATTACGAGAGGCCACCATTCACTCATGGAAGCAATGAGATGCGCACAACTAAGACACACTATCACTCAAGCGGTACTACCATATTGGACCCCAAGAGGTTCAACCCCCTTTGAGCAATTATGCACGACCGCACAACCAATAAAACGCACCTTATCACAAATTTATAAACTCATCCAAACTAATGATAGGGCTCAAGAGACCCTAGCATACCAACGTAAATGGATGAAGGAACTTCACATACATATGTCACACCAGGACTGGGCATATGTCTTCACAAAACCCATGCACACCTCCAGTAGCCTATCAAGACAAGAGTCATTCTATAAACGTATCACTAGGTGGTATAGAACCCCGGAGGTACTTCATCTATATTGGCAAACAGTTAGCGAACAATGCTGGAGGTGCGGGGGAGAGGTGGGCAGTATGGAACACCTGTGGTGGTTTTGCCCACTCATGAGACCATACTGGGCAGAAGTGACCTCCAAGATCGATGAGATCTTAAAACTACCACACTCCCTAACCCCCTCCCAAATTCTACTAGGATGGCCACACTCCTTTCAATGTATGAAGAGTCAGCGCCTACTATGGCTCCTTCTGGGAGAAGCAAACAACCTTATACCGGTCCATTGGAAACAAAATGTACCACCCACAGCCAAACAATGGATAGAAAGGGTAGAGCACATGAGAGAAATGGAAATGCTACATTGGTCCACAATAGGCAAATACACTACATACCTAAACATATGGGAACCATGGCTAAAACACTGGGCACTAGTACAGAATAATCCACAATAGACGGAACAGTAATAACAATAAAAGATACCTTGTACCTCCCCCCCCCACCCACTTCCCATGTATATAGTACTTCCCCGCTCTCCCCACCATCCCCTACCCCCCAATCTTTCTGGGGACACTAGTCACCAACCCTGCACCAAGGTTTCGTGTAATACAGAATGATGAGACAATATCAGCGGTACCAATATGCAAAGAACAATGGGGATTGATGTATATTTGTCTATATTTGTCTATTTCGACATTGCTGTATAAAATGTATGAATCACGACCGCATACCTTACCCTCCCTTCTTGCCTTGAACTATACGTTAGACTGTATAAGTTGTAACGCAATAATACATTGTAGCAGCAGGCTATACAGCTCTTACAAGTTTTGCACTTTCCACTTTTATCACCAACATTGGAGTATGGCTGTTCCTCAGTTTCAGAGATAAGATGAGAATGGATGGTGTCTTCATCTTGACCTTCATTGTTCGCATCAGTATATTCTTCATCAAGTGACATTTTCAATCTTTGCCACTTTGATGCAAAATCAAGTAGCTCACTTCGCAGTTTCTCTTTCGTTGCATTGGAGTCAAATTTAGTAACAAGGCTACTCAGTCGTTCTAATGCACTGCTGGGAAGGTCTAGTAAAATATCCAAATCTGCAAATAACTGACCATGTGTTGTAAATCGGCTATGCAAACTATT